GGGGGTGGGGGGGGGGTTCCAGCAGGGGGGGGAGGATTTTCGGAGGCGGGGGGGGGGACCCCCGGGCTCCGGAGGAAAAGGTTGGCAATTTTCCACAGTAAAGCGGCGGTGGATCACGCTCTCTCGAAAATGGTCAAGAAATGGTCTGGGGACGACTTTTCTTCGGCCAGTTTTGGTTATTTTCGAAATATGCCTGTTGAGTATGTTTTTGTTCCTCCTCCAGGATCCGCCTGTTGGAGGACATGCCCGACCTGATGCTAGGCCTCGCCGGGCGAGCCGAGCGCTGCCCCAGGAATCGACTTATACTGTATGTGCGTCGCCCCGCCGGGGGCGACGCGCGCGCCGAGAGGTCTTCTAGTATATGCGTCGTGGCGGGCGCTTTCTGGCCACACCGCTCGGGAAACGATACACTACAAGATGGGCATGCTATATGTGTTTGGGCCGGACGCGCGCCTCCAAGGAAAACATATAGTATTAGTCTGTCTCTGTGCGTCCCAAGGAAGGGGTGCACGAACGAAGCGCAGCATGGGTCCCAGGCCGGAGCGCGCGGCCCTCTGAGGAGCCGCCCTCCGCCTGGGGCCTCTGGGAGCGGGCACGGTCCGCCACTCGCAGGGGCAACGTCAGGGGGGGGGGAGGCTCCTCCTCCTCCTTTTCCCCCTTTTTCTCCCCTCTTCCTTACTCCTCCTCCTCCTCCTCCTCCTCCTCCTCCATTATTATTAGGGGCAACGTTAGTGGGGGGGAGGGGGCTGGCTCAGGGGGGGGTCATCGACACCCAATCGCCCACTGATCGCCGATGGGCACCCGACAGCCCACCCCGCCCGGGAGCGTGCGGTGCCGCCATCGGGGGCCTCTCGCGGACCGAAACGGCTAGGTATCGCCAGTCCCAGCTCAGTGTCCGATCCCCTGAGTTGTTGCCCCCCCCCCCCCAAGCGCTGCCCCTCCCCGCTGGCTCGCCGCGGGTCGTCACTGCCCCACCGGCGGCGCAGCCCCGCGGCTCGGGCCTCGACTTCGAGAGCGAGCGCGCGCGCGGGAGAGGACCGTGCTGGGCAGCCCTGCCGGGAGAGCAGCCGGGAAGGAGGAGGGTCCCCGAGGCTCTTTGGGTCCTCCGTAGTCGAGGCGGGTGAGGGCCTGTGATTTGTTGTTGCGAATCGCCTTGGTTTCTGAGCGACCAGCGGGCATGCCGGGGCTGCTGGGCTGACTGTCTCTGCTCGACCGCCTGGGCCACGGCGCGTGCGTGGCACGTTGGGAGGGCTGTGGGCCCAACGTGTCCACTGTTCGGTCGGCCCTGTGCACGGTCAGCCGTGTTACGGGAGGGCGTGCGTGTGTTTTGATGCGCGTTGTCCTTGTCTCGCATGTTCGGCCTGTCGACCACATCGTTGACAGTTCACATGCTGGACCGCGCCTCGGCGGCGCGCGAGGGGGGGAAATGAGAAGGAGCAGGCCTTCTCAGAAGGCGGCTGGACTTCGCATAAGCCCTCGCGCCTTCCGACAAGTTTTCTGTCTTCGGGAAGGGCTTCGAAAGCTTCTCAGAAGGCCCGAGGACTTCTGAGCCTTCTGAGAAGGCCGACCCTTCTCACTTCCCCCAGGGCTCGCCGCCCGTTGCTGGACCGCGCCGAGTTGGCAGTTCACATGCTGTCATCGAGGACAAAATAAACCCGAATCCTAATGATACGAAGAAGACGCTGCCTCTGTTTCGCATTAGGGCCAACACATCTGAGCGGTTTGGCCTGGCACATCTGCAGAAAAGACCCTTTTATCCCCAATGCTCATGGCCCTCCTAACTCAGGTCACCTCCCAGAAGGCTAGAGGTCCTCTTATGCCCCATCCTGCTGGACCGCGCCGAGTTACGAGATGGTGAAGCAGTACAAGACGGACCGGCCGATCAACGACGCGGCGATCTCGCCGCTCTACAACGCAGAGAAGGACGCGAGCCCTCTTCCGGCCACCGCTCGCCTCGCGACTCTCGGCGCCGCCTCGGCCCGCGGCCCGCGTGTCCTCCTGCGCTCTGCTCCTCCCAGCTCCCCCTCTTCCAGCTCGTCCGGCTCCTCCTCCCTCGATGTCCCTTCCTCCTCCTCCTCCTCCTCATCCTCATCTCCCTCCTCATCCTCATCCTCCTCATCCTCATCCTCATCACCCTCTTCCTCATCATCACGCTCCCCCTCCTCCTCCTCCTCTTCCTGCTCCTCCTCCTCCTCTTCCTGCTCCTCTTCCTGACGTTGATCGGACTTCAAGCGCGGGGCTCACAGCCGCCTGACATGGTGCAAAAACAGGGCCGACTTAGGCCAAAGACAAGCAAATTACGCCTGGCTGGCGCAGCGGAAAAAAGAAAGGCGCAAGGACGAAGCCAAAGACAGAGTGCTTGCAATGGCCGAGAGTATGCGCCAGCCAGGCGGGGGAGTGGAGAAGTAATTAGGACGAACCAAAATCCTCCTCCTCCTCCTCCTCCTCCTCCTCCTCCTCCTCCTCCTCCTCCTCCTCCTCCTCCTCCTCCTCCTCCTCCTCCTCCGCTCGCGCTTGGGCGTGAGAGCACGCATGCTTTGGGCGTCAACGAAGCGCCCCCGGAGAGGGAATGGGCCGTTACTTTCGGAGGATGTCGGGGGAGAGGTGGGGTGTTGTATCGAAGACGCCCACGGCGAGCCACTGCGGCACCCTGCCTTTTGGAGACGCCCGCGCCCTGAGATGTCGAGCTGACGCGCGGCCACGCTGTTGGACTGCGTGCTCTCCCAGCACTCGTGGGCACCGTCCGGGGAGCACCGGGCAGGGGCCACTTATGGGCTGCCTGGGGCCCATCTTTTTTTTTCCGGCTTGTGGGTCGTCTCGGGGGTCTCTGTGGTCGCTCTCTCGGGCCATGTTGGGGCTGCCTTCGGCCGTCTTGGGCCACCGCGTTGGGGCCCTCTCGGGCCGTCTTGGGAGCTTTTTCGGGCTGAAGTTGTTGGCGCGGCCTTAGGAGCTCATCGGGCCGTTTGGACGCCTTTGGAACAAGTGCATCGTGAATCCGAAGATCGTTCAACAGCATTGGGGACATCAATGATGCTTGCCTCTTCAGGTCCTCCTTGAGGCCCTCGTGGGCTGCCTGGGAGGCCTCTTGGGCCGTCTCGAGGCCATCTTAGGCCGTGCCCGAGCTCTTTTAGCCCGCCTTGGAGACTTCTTGAGCCGTCTTGGATGCCATCAGGGACCGCCTCTGGTCGCCTTGGAGGCCACCCCGGCCGTGCTGGAGGCGAGAGTCCCAGCTGTTCCTGCATGGACGGCTCGATGCAAGGTTGTGAGGCTTCAGGAGGGAATAAAAAACACAGACACAATTAATCGTCGATTCCCCGGAAAATATGCGAAAATATGGGAAGTGGTGGGGAAGACAGAAGCCCAGACAATATGGGAAGATATGGAGAATCCTTTCATTTGTGTGTATTTAGTTGTGTGTCCCAGGGCCCCTTCAAGGTTGTGTGGCCTTCCTGTTGGCCTGCGGGTCCGACCGGAGACAGCTGCAGTGGAGGCCCATGCCAAGAAGCACCCTGCTTGCCTCCGGGGTGCCCTGGGCGTCCTGAGCTTCGGCGGTTCTGCTCTGGAGAGCGCGACGTCCCCGCACCAAACATCGATGGACGTCCTGGGGTCTCAGGGTTGGGTCTCTTGTGGAAGGCTTCTCGTGGACTGGCCTCCTCTGTAAAAAAATTGGGGATCCCCCGACAAGTGCTTCAACACTTGGTGCGCCAGACGCCACTCCGTACTAGTTGCCTTTTCGGCCCATCCCGCCAACGCGTCCGGGCTGTGGACTGGAGGCCGCGATGCTTGTCGGGACTGTCTTGTGGGGGTCTTTAGCAGGTTGGGGCCTGTTGGGGCCCTCTCGCGGGCGTCCTGGGAACGACCAAGGAGCGAACGGAACGCGTGTCCGGCCGTGTCCCCCGCAGAGCGGCGTGCAATTTTGTAGACTGTTCGGTGAGAGCGAGGCGGCCGAGCGAGTGGTTGAAGTGCGGTTTTCCGCGGTGAGGGTTCAGTGTTGTTCGCCTTGCCGGCCCCGCCCCGCGACCCGCCCCGCGGCCCCAGCGGCCCACCCGCGGCCCGAGCCCCCGACCCACCCGCGACCTGCCCCGCGGCCCAGCCCCGACCCGCCACGCCCACACGCCCGCGGTCGGCCCCGCGACCCGCAGACCCGTCCGCGGCCCGCCGCGCGGCCCGCCGCGCGGCTCGAGTCGCATCAGGGCGTCCTCGGCCTTTCCAGGAGCAAGTATCCCGCTGCAGCGTCGTGCACAGCTCAGGACAGTCGCTACGGCCCCCACCGTTGGGAGTGGCGCTCTCGCCCCGGCGTGAGGGCGCGTTTCTGGTCTGGTGTCTTCCTCGTCGTTGCCGCCACCTTCCGTTCCCCTCCGCCACCTTCCCCTCGTCCGCCTGCTGGTCCCGCTCTCCTCTTTCCTAGTCATCTTCTTCGGCACCATCCTCCTGCTCTTCTGCCACCTCCTCATCCTCCTCCTCCTCCTAGTTCTACTCCTACTCCTACTCCTCCCCATCGGCGGTTGAAGAGCAACATGCGCAATGGAAAGGGACGGGAGGAAGAGGCAGCATGTCGGATATGGCGCGAGCGCACCTGGGCGTGCCCCCCCTTCCCTCCTCTCCTCCCTCCCGTCCCCCTGCTCTTCGCCCCCTCCCCTTCCCCTCTTCGTTGCATGCCTGCCCATGTTCATCGGGTCGGGCGAAAGGGGGGGATTGGGAAAGGGGGGGTTACGAAATTTGCTGCATGCAGCTGGTTTCGGCCTCACCGAGGAGCCCATTCCTCGATACATAGCCGCCTCCGGCGCCGGGAGGCGCCGGGAAAATCGGCTACGTGAGCTGATTCTCAAACCCCCCCTTTGCTATCCCCCCCTTTCGCCCGACCCGAGTTCACTCCACCTCACCCGTCTCGCCACCTCCCCCCCCCATTCCGTCGTCTCCCCCCCCCCCCCCCCTCGCGCCCCGGCCCCTGCCCCCCTCTCCCTCCCTCCTCGGCCCCCCTATACGCTCTCTGCTCTGCCCTCGTCTCCCTTCGTCTCTCTTCTCCGCTCTGTTTCCCCTTTTCCTTATCTCTCTCTCTTCTCTCTCTCTCTCTCTCTCTCTCTTTTTTCCTCTCTCTCTCTCTCTTTCTCTCTCTCTCTCTCTCTCTCTCTCTCTCTCTCTCCTCCGCGGCCCTGCATGCTCGGCACACTCCTCGCCGTCGTCGGCCTCCTCCTCCTCATCCTCCCTCCTCCGCCCAGCCCTCTGCCGGCGCCCCTCCCCCTCGAAGCCGCCCGGCACGCCCCCCTTGCCACGCACCCCTGCACGCTCTGCATCCTCCTCGTCCTCCTCGTCTCCCTCCTTCGCCCTCCTCCCTGCCCATGCGCCTCCAGGATGAGAGGGCTGAGGAGGAGGAGGAGGAGGAGGAGGACGACGACGACGACGCCAGTGAGGAGCGAGAAAATGACGCGCGCGCCTCCGAATCTTCGTGGGTGTCGATAGCATGCATTCCACGAGGATTCGTAACACGAGGTCAGCCTCGCGGACTCGGGGGGCCTATTCGTGTACATGGTTGTGCGCGCACGCCTTCTGCGACGACGACGACGACGACGAGAAGACGTCGCCCAGGACCCGAAGCTTCACGTCCTGCTGGGCGGGGGCCAGGACGCCAAGGACGTGACAACGACGGCCGGCTCCTCCGGCAAGTTCGAGGCGCGCGCCTGCGGAGGGCGCGGCGGCGCAGCGGCAGGTCGCGGGCACGGGCCCGCGGGCCTTTCGCATTACGCCGTGCCCGCGAGGTTAGCCTTGATCACCAGAACGAATTTCGAGCGCCAGAGAAATGCCCCCAAACTCGAGGGTTTTCGCGTGTCGGGCCCTGGGAGACACTGTTTCGACACTCTTCCGACACTCTTTCGACACTTTTCCGGGTGCTCGAAATTAATTCTGGGATGTGGTTTGGTAGTCCCCAAACGTGGTGGTGACACCACCTGGCGGTGAGTCTCGGGCGATTTGGTGTCACCACCCGGTTTGGGGACTCGTGCGGTTTTCCGAGGATGTCCCGGACACTGGTGGGCCCAGGAGTCACAAAACCCGGTGGTGACCCCGCGTCCCCAAACCCGGCGGTGACCTCTTTGGGGATTCCAGGTCGCCACCTGGTATCTCACCATCCGGTTTGGGGGCTCCCGTCGTGATCTTTTGGCGAGGCGAGGGGGTCTAGGAGGAGGAGGAGGAGGAGGAGGAGGAGGAGGAGGAGGAGGAGGAGGAGGGGGAGAAAGGATGAGGAGGAGGAGGGAGGGGGAGGGGGAGGAGGAGGGGGGAGGAGGAGGAGGATGAGGAGGAGGAGGAGGAGGAGGAGGAGGAGGAGGAGGAGGAGAGGAGGAGGAGGAGGAGGAGGAGGAGGAGGAGGAGCTCCCAAGTGGTCCGTAAGTGCGATGGGAGCAACATGACGCGAGGTACGGATCGGGGGGCGAGCCCGGGGGGAGAAGCGAGGGGGGGTCTGAGAAGGCGACGCGGGGCTTCTCGGAAAAGCCCCCGCCGCCTTGCCACGGGCGGCTCCTGAGATGAAGTCGGGCGTGTCCCCCTACAGGGGGATTTTCGACGAAACATAAAAGATACCCCCAAGATGTTCCAAAGTGGCCAAACAAAAAGATTCAGACACATAGTCCCCAGACCATTGTTTGACTATGTTTGAAGCTTCCCCCTGTAGAGGGACAGGCCCGACTTAATCCTGAGAAGACGCGAGGGCTCCTGAGGAGCCCCGCCGCCTTCCGAGAGGGCCTGCCCCCTCAGGCTTCCCCCATGGGCTCGCCGCGGAGCAGTCGGAGGTGGGTAGACCTACCCTGACACGTCGATTAAGGAATTGGCCGTTTTCGCTTCGCGAGAGGGCGTCGCGGCCGTCATGTTTGCGGGTTCAGGTCCGTCGGTTTCGGTCCCAAGCCGTTTTCATTAAGGGGAGGTTTACTAAAGGGAGGTTTGTCCACCGCCGAAACAGAAGCACCCGACTGGCTGGCCACGCAGCATTGCCCAGCGCCAGCTGCACTCACGAGAGCGAGAGTCTGGTTGACTCAAAAGGGGGTCCAACGAAGAAGAGTGGTGGTGCAATGTATTTGCGGGGGTGTTGCTGGATCTTGGCGCGCAATACCTTAGCTGCAGTACAACGCAGTACAATTCTCTGGCCCAGTACCTTTGCAGTACCACTGCCCCGCATCTCTTGCACCACCCCCTTTCAGCTGGACCCCCCTCTGTTTGGCCACGAGGAAAGAGGTAACTTGATAAACATAGTCAGTTGGAGGTCCGCGCGGACTTCTTTCGGGTCGGGCGAAAGGGGGGGGGGTTTGGGAAAGGGGGGGTTACGAAATCTGCTGCATGCAGCCAGTTTCGGCCCGACCGAGGGGCCCCTTCCTCGAGATACGTGGGCGCCTCCCGGCGCCGGGAGGCGCCGGGAAAAGCAGCTACGTGAGCTGATTCTCACCCCCCCCCTCTTTGCTTATCCCCCCCTTTGGCCCGACCCGAGAATGCTTCTGCCCAGAGGTCCCGACCCCC